CTGGAAAGATTTCCAACACTATCGACATTGTCATTACATCCATAGGGAAAGGCTGTCCCTAGTTTTCTAATCCAAAATTCTTCTCGTTGTCTACAGAAAGGTGTACTCAGTGATGGACTGTTTGTATGGTGGTAATTTTTTTTTTTAGAATTCTAACTTTCATTGACAAAATTGAATGATCAGGTAAATTAAAGTGCTTGTAGAGAAGTTGCTGGCCCCCGTTGTTGATTTGAAATCTGTGACCCGATATTCTTTTATGAAGTGAACCCTTGGTTTCAACAACATAAACAAGTCCACAAAGATTACATTCTATTCCGTAGACAACATTAGTAGATTTGCAGTTCAGATTTTCCCAAGTTTTGGTATAGAAGCTCTGTCCAGTAAGATTACTGGTGAAAGAAGTGTTAGTTATCAAAATGTCACAGGTTTTACAGTTTTTCGCAGAACATTTTGGAATAGAAGACATGGGATTGGAAACAGAATCTTCAAATATGTCTCTAATAGAAATTTTACATTCTTTCAATTTTTTGTATGAACTATTGGTTTTATACCAAAACTGGGAATCTGAAGACTGTACATATGACATATGTTTAATATCCCTGAGGATTATCCGAGGGGCACCGAATGAACTCCTTGAGTCTGTGTCCCTTATAGACTCAAAAGAGTGACGCCTTTTTATACTGGGCGACGCGTCTGCCAGTATCATTTCGTTATTCTGTGTACTCATGAATGAATAGGTACCGAACGACAAGTATCCTCGGGGACAGACTGTCCACCAGCAGAGATACATGTTCGGTGGTTAAAATGAAATATATGGAGATAACGAACAGTATTCAAGCTCAAAAGTCCATTATACAATACAAAATAGGAGCAGAGCAAACACGGACCTCCAAACATCAGAGGTGGGATCAGGTGCCATGGAGGAGTGAGCATCCCCTGCCGACCGGTCACACCCGCTGTGTGCTCCTTGTCATGATCGGGAAATAACGGAAAAATCCGTCGATAATTCAGTGTGTAAATAATGGCCTAACAATTTGTATGAAAAACGTCAGTCAGCATTTGACTCAATGATAAATTGTATTCGCTGACAAGGTCATTGTATCGACCAAAGAACTTACGAAATGATGACTTTAAACGAGACAGCTGATATTCTTGTTTCATCAACTTATTTGTCAATAATTTACCTGGTTTTAGAAATTGTACATACGTAGAGCATGCTCTTGCGTATCGAATCGAGAGGTATATACCCCGTATGCAGGTGATGAAGGTATATTGCTGCATAAGTAAGGGAAGTTGACGATTGAAAAGTTAAAGTCATCACGTTTATCATAAAGCTTGGATGTTAGATTACCATTAACGTCTTTTTCAAGTAAAATATCCAAATATGAAACAGATGTGTCAGAATCTGTGGTATCTTTTATCTCAGGTTCACCAGGATATATCGTATCGACATAAGAATGAAAATAGCCATTGTTGATTGACAATACGTCGTCGATATATCTAAATGTCGAGTTGAACGCCACAGCAAGCGTTTTCTTCTTTTCACGTACAAGATTTTGGACAAATTCTGCTTCATATGAATACAAAAAAAGGTCTGCTAATAACGGGGCGCAATTGGTACCCAAAGAAATTCCAATAGATTGTTGGAAGACCTGGTCTCCAAAAACCATATAGATAATGGTCAATCAGAAACTCAAGCATCTTTTTAATGTCAACTTCAGAGTACTTGTGTGTACAATCAGAATGTTTTTTAACAAAATAATTTTGCAAATGACCAATGACAAGGTAAGTATATTTACGAGTTCCATTTTTATTGAAAAAGCAACTGTCAATAATATCAACAAGCCTGGACTTTAATTTATCGTGGGGAATGGTTGTGTATAAAGTTGAAAAATCGTAAGTTTTTAAGCTGTTGATTTTGGTAAAATCTTGTGATTTCAAATTTTCCAAAAGTCCCTTGGAATTTTTAAGTATCCACATCTGATTTACACCACTTCTCGAATATATTGTTGCACAGTACTCTTGAAGTTTCTCCTTCACCACTGTTAATATCTTAGTGAGTTTCGGAATCCAATATAAATATGGTAATTCGAATTCATTTTGGTTGTTTAGAATATTAAAAATATTCAAAACTAACATATGATTTTTAAGAATTTCTTCCTTAGAAAGGGAACTATGAGTATAAGTTGGATTACCACTTGTAGAATTAAATCCAAGTTCCTCAAAAATACATTTAATATAATGAGCCTTACAAACAAAGACAATGTTGTTACCTGCTTTGTCAACAGGGACCAGTACGTACGGATCATGTAATCTATCTAATTCTTTTTTTCACTTCTGGATTATTAAATACAGAAGGATAGATGGTTTTCATATTGCCTCTCAATTTTTTAATGCGCGATTTTAACATACATCTGATACATTTAATCCATTCTGACAAAGTGTCAAGGTCTTCTTTTTCATGTCTGGCCCATCGCCTGGCGTAGTCCTCTACAGAATCCATGATATTTATGAAATTCTTACGCCAGTTGAAGGATCTGGGTTCCCTAAATTTACGACCTTTTAAAATGAGTGATCTAAGGTCCTCATTATTAAATATATTTACGTCACCAGTAATAACGAGTCCAGCAGGACTATAGTTATAGGGCGAAGAAGAACATGAACACGATGGAGGATTATTTTTCAGATATTCGATATCCAGGCCCTGTAAAGTTTTCTTGTAATTAAAAAGTTTGGAAGCAATAGTCGATGTATATTTGTAGGAAATACAAGGTGTAGTCTTTAACTTGAAATATGGTGGAATACAAGACTGGACCCTTTTGTGATTAAGAATATTACTTATATTAACCGCGTCAATTCCTTTGTTGGCATATTGAAGTTTAAGGAAAAACGGATTGTTTTAGCTGCATTTTCTTCAGTAAACTGTTTATAAACTCCAAATTAAACATGTAACACTGTAAATCTTTAGTGTTTGGTAGTTAAGTAGTAGTGCTAGTTGTTTTTGCTTCTCTATTTCCTTTGTTTTTAAATGACTTCTTAACTTTTTTCTTTGTCCTGAGGAAGGGACAGCTCGTCCCGAAAATCTGACAATTATTATTGTTCGTGTCGTTGGTCATATTTAGTGCTTTATATATATATATATATATATATATATATATATATATATATATATATATATATATATATATATATATATATATATATATATATATATATACGTCCGGGGAGGATTGGGGGGGGGGGGAGGGGATTTCACGGAGATAAAGGCTGGTTTGTGTCGTAAAGACATGGATTTGTCCAAAGATTTCTGGTTTGAAAAGCTGTAATATTTCGCACTAAATAAGTATGCTTATTGTTCAAATATTGGACATTCAGTTTGCAAACATTAGATCAGGTATAAGAGAACGAATGAGGAAATGTAAGCTAAGTATATACTTTCAGGGAATAATTTCCTCATGAACTTTGGTGATGTTTATCTAGGTGTACTAATCTGTTGATATTAGTATGTTTACCATGTTGAACCAACACCTAACTGCTGCGTTTTGTGTTACCATTGTGTCTGACATATTCTCCGTTCGCTTAATGTAAGTTTCTGATTAAAAAAAAAACAGAATAATAAAAAAAAAAACGACAAAATTTTACTTATAATATATATTCAAAATTTCCAAATATTTAAGATATTGTTGAATAATAATTTAAAAATTAATTAAACTTTTAAACCATGGAATTTAGATCTGGTTTAAAGACATGTGAAACCAATTACCACAGAATTAATGAAACGTGTGAAGGTAATTAAAAATAATTCTTTGTCAACTTTTATTAAATACACTAACTGTCTCTTAAAACTCTGACATAAACACATACGACTATATTTTTCATAATAAATTGATTTACACAGAATGTCCAGCTGGTTATTTTGGACCAAACTGTACAGTACCTTGTCCAGAGAAGAGTTTCGGACTATTTTGTGGTGGAACTTGTGACTGTTTACCTGACGAATGTGATCCAAAGGTTGGCTGCTCAAAACTGCACGGTAGATACATTATTTTGTTTTATTCGGTTTTGTGGTAAAATTTAAAAAAAAATGCGGTAAACAAGATTTACGTACGAGTTCATTTTGGTGGATTTTCCTAGGATAGTTTGATGTGCAATTATTTTATGCTCTTCATCATTAGTCCTTTACAAAGGGTTAATGATGACATTTATTTGATGGATATCTCGTAAGATCGTTTAAGGCATTTAATTAATTTCCGAAAACACTTTCCCCCTGTTATAGAAGAGAGACGCACCTGGCAAATTGCCTCTCTTACTCAGGTAACCACTCCCAGCGTTTTGCACTTGTAATAACTGTTTCCCGCCCACAATTTTCACTAAAAGGTAGTATATATTAACTGTTGAGATTTGTTTTAAAACGCATGTAGAGAATTTTGATGTACTGCTTTTTTTCAAATGACTTTTTTAATCTAAGAAATTTTTTCATGTTTATGTGAACAAGATTGTGAGCTATTGGTTTTGTGCAGTTTTTGCGGCTTCACGGAAATGTTTGAATATGGATTTTACGTGTTGAAAGAGCATATGGTGGCTCTCTAAGGCTACCCTACAAGCCAATACAAGCTTGCTATAGATTGCACTAGGAGCTAGCTGCAATAAAGTAGAAATCTCCATTTTTCTTACCTAAACTCAAAAAAATAATGAATAGTCAATATTTCGACTATTTTTCGTGAAAGTCATGTGACGCGAGGCGAACTCGTCAACACAATTTTTATAGGGAACGTGGTTTTTATTGTGAAAATTATTTAATACTCCATACTGAATCACACACTATTACACAACACTTCACTGAATTGGGAGATCCCGAAGTTATAAATCCCAGTGTAATAATAAATCCTTGGTAAAATAATAAACCTTTTAATTACTTTTCTTTAAGAAATAAATCAAATTCTATTCTACCATTTATTTATGTAAACATGAATATATAAGCATGCAAAACAAAACAAAATTAAAGTGAACACATTTTAATCCCAACTTCTTTAATAACCCAATGACTTACCAATATCCCATGAATAATGATGAATTTAAGGTTAATAAATGATTTTATTATACTCAAGAATTGATTTTTAACCGAACACCAGAACTCGCACCTTGGTAAATATTTCGGTGGAGTTCGGTGTTGGTTCACCGAGATTCAAATTCACCAAGTAGTTACACCACTCAAATAATTTAGGTGAAACTTGAAAATAATTTCCTAAGTAGAAAGAATAAAATTTGGGATGTGTAGCTGTTTAAATATTTTAGCTAACACAATATAATTTCACCGAAAACTACTGATCTTCAATTAATTTACCAGAGAACTCGGTGAAATATTTGGTGTCAATTGTTAAATCCCAAAGAAAACCAAAGCAATTAATTAATTACCAGATCTCCACGCGCTCGTCTCAATTGCTCCTCTGACATCTTCAAAACCAACAAGTCTACAGTTAATTATAGAAATTGACCCCCTTTTTATACCAGGTCATCCCAAAATGACAGTTACAAATTGGAGATTAATAGAGATGCTGGCTCGCAAGCTCCCCCTCCCAGACAGAACCCTGCTGTGCCTTAAGAAGTTGGGAAGCAAAACAAATTTACAATCAAACATTTAACAATCATTTACATAGCAATTCACTACTGCTTGATTCATTTAATTGAATGTCGAATTAATACTTCATAAAATACTAGAGTTAATTGAATCATGAAATTATTATAATGATTATTCTAAATTTTATAACATAACCCCCTTTTTTTAAAAAAGTTTAGTCCCTAAACTAGCAATACCTACAGTAGTGAATCACTGTACAATTAAAAATATTTCAGATTATAGTGTCTCTTTAATGGTTTACTCCATCATGTGTTGGCATCTACACATTTCAAGTCTCTTTTTCACCTTACTTTCCAATTCCACAAGTCCATAGAATTTACATTCCACCATGATAGCTGCTAGGGCACTTTTCTCATCGGGTAGAGTTCTGACGTCTATTTCTCCATTGTTTCTAAGATAATTTAAAATTATTCCAAAATGCTTAGGATCTCGGTCAACAAAGTATGACGGCACGTTTCCTGATGACTTCAAGCTGATTAATTTGGAAAGTTTTGATGGTATTTGGTTCACAGTCCTACTAGTTGTTTTGAACTTGTAACCCCCTATATCCAGTTGAATGATGTCTTTCTGCATTCTTTCTAATCCATCTAAGACCTTAATGTCCTCCTCTTCTCTCTCAAATTGATCATCCGCGTCAATTGAAATTTCGTCATAATCTCTGTGTCCCACAGGTGATCTTGACCTTGATCTTGAACTTGTTGACGGCATTGGTCTTGGACTACAGATGCGCGTTATCTGCAACGGAAGAATCTCCTTGTACCATTTGTCCATTTCGTCTTTCGCTGCTTTTCCTGACATGCGGGTGTTTATGTTAACTATCATTGTTGGGAATCCCCTTCTACACTTCCCGTGCTCTTGATCTTTACGGGAAAGCGTTGTTCCACAGTCCTGGCATTTGAATTTAAATCCACTGTGCTGCTCTTGTACGTGTCTGTTTGCAGCATACAGACTCTCTGATCTAAACTTCTCACAAATATTACAAACAAAGCTGGTCACCTAAAAAGAAATTTCATACTTTTGAAATTAAAAAAAAAAAAAAAAAATTACATTTATAACATATATCCCTATCACTAGTATAACTGGAAATCACTATATTGCTGGGGGACCTTGACACTTCTCTTAGGACGTTGACCACGATTCACATTATTTTCTAATCTAGTCGCACTTCTAGAGTCACTTTCACATTGCACATTTGTATCAGTACACCACAATACATTTTCCTCATCGTGCAACACATCACCATCGGATCCACAATCATTTGAAGTAACTATTCCATCATCACTATTAATATTCCCCCCGTTTTCTCCCAAATGAATAGTTTCTCCATCACATGCAACGGTTTTACTTCTCACTTTACCACTATCAATTTCACTAACTTCCCAGTTTGGTCTGTTTTCTCCTAGATATGGTTTCAACCTATCAGAATGCACAACTTTCGGTTTTGATCTTGGAGACTCTTGTATCCTATATGTCACATCACTAATTTTCTTCACAATAAGAAATGGTCCAATCCATTGATTTCGCAATTTTTTTGACAACCCTTTCTTTTTCGTAGGATCATGTAACCACACAGCCTCACCCATACTATATTCGTGAAAATTGATATTTTTGTCATATCTCTTTTTCATTGTATCTGCAGTAATTTTTAGATTTTCCCTGGCATAATCATGCACACATCTTATTTGTTCAGATAGTTGAAATGCATAATCCGACTTGAATTGTTTCTGTTTTTCGTGTTGAACTTCGCCAAATATTAAATCAATGGGTAAAGTTATTTCCCTTCCAAGCATCATGTATGAAGGTGACACTTTTGTTGCTTCATGCACATAGGATCTGTAAGCCATCATCACAACTGATAAAAACATATCCCAATCTCTTTGCATAGGATCTATGAAAGCCGTTAACATATTTTGAATTGTTTGATTTGCACGTTCCACCATACCGTCTGATTTAGGTCGAAATGGCGTAGTTCTTGTCTTCTCCATATTTAACAATTCACAAATTTCTTTAAACAGTCCTGATTCAAAATCCGTTCCTTGATCAGAATGAATTTCTTTAGGAACACCAAAGACACTGATGAATCGATCAATTAGAGCAGATGCAACAGTTGCTGCTTCCTGGTCACGTAATGGCACTGCCTCAGTCCATTTCGTGAAATAATCAGCTATCACCAGAATGTACCGATTTCCTTTTTCAGTTTCAGGTAGAGGGCCCATTATGTCTATCGCTATTCTTTCCATGGGAGCTCCTACAACATATTTCTTCATTGGTCCTTGATAATGTTTCACGGGTCTTTTTCTTGCAGCACACACATCGCAGATTTTACACATGTGTTGAATATCCTTCCTCATATTAAACCAATAGAATCTACATTTCACTCTTTCCAAAGTTTTGTTAACCCCTAAATGTCCAGAAGTTCGAGAACTGTGTAACTCATTCATCACATATTTCTGTAATTCTTTAGGCAAGACAATTAACCACAAAATTTCTTTTCCACTATCTGATTCCCACTTTAAATACAACACATCATCCTTCAGCGTTAGTGAATCATACCGGGCCCAGTAATGTTTCACTTCTAAGGATTCGGAAGAAACATCCTTCCATTCAGGTTTTATTCCTGATGATTTCCATGTCATGACATTTTTTAGAACACTATCATTTTGTTGCATTTCCGACATTTCTGGTACGGACACAACTCTATTACATGAAGCTACATCAGCTGGCATGTCACTATTTGGACTTGCACCCGCGTCATTATTCAACGCAATTTCCAGCAAGCTACCCAAAACTCCACAGCCACTGACATCTGTTTGAATGCCAATCTCCACACTAGCACTGATATTCTTTTTCTCAGCTTTATCACAATAAGAACATTCAACATGAGAACATGGGCGTCTGGACAACGAGTCAGCATTCGAATGCAACCTTCCCTGTCTATGTTGAATTTCCATATCATAAGTGGACAGAATTTCAATCCATCTAGCCATTTGACCTTCAGGATTTTTAAAATTGAGCAACCAACGCAATGCACCATGATCAGTTCTCACAATGAAATGCCTGCCATAAAGATAATGATGAAATTGTTTCACTGCTTTCACAACTGCCAATAATTCCTTCCTAGTTACACAGTACTTCCTTTCTGGTTTTGAGAGTGACTGGCTGTAATAACATATCACTTTTTCCTGATCATCCTGTATTTGTGATAGAACGGCCCCAAGTCCAGAATCACATGCATCCGTGTCCAACACAAATAGTCCAGTTCTATTAGGATAAGCCAATATTGGAGGTGACACGAGTAGCTCCTTCAAAGTCTTAAAAGAAAAGTCACACTCTTCAGTCCACACAAATTTTCTTCCCTTTTCTGTAAGTCTATGAAGTGGTTTGGCAATAGAAGCGAAGTTCTTTATAAATTTCCTGTAATATGAACACAACCCAAGAAAGCTCCTAACTTCGTTTACATTTTTAGGAACAACCCATTCCTCAATCACCTTTCTTTTATCTGGATCAGTAGAAACTCCATTCTCACTCACTATATGTCCTAGAAATTTCACTTCTTTTTGAAATAAAACACATTTTTCTGGATTTAATTTCAAATTGGCTTTCCTGATTCTTTCAAACACCTGCGACAAATTTGAAACTTGTTCCTCAAAAGAATTGCCAATTACAATTATGTCATCCAAGTACGCCATACAGATTTTCCAATTTAATCCATATAACACCTTTTCCATAAGTTTCACAAATGTTGCACCACTATTACACAATCCAAATGGCATAACTTTAAACTGCCAAAACCCACTATCAAACGTTGCAAATGCAGTCTTAGGTCTATCCTCTGGGTCAACTTCAACCTGCCAATAACCACTTTTTAAATCCAGTGTTGAAAACCACTTAGAACCACTTAAAGCATCTAATGAGTCATCAATCCTTGGTAGAGGTTGCGAATCTTTCACTGTCACGTCATTTATTTTTCTATAATCCAAACAAAAACGAGCTGTACCATCTTTCTTTGTCACTAATACCACAGGTGAAGCCCAAGGTCCACTTGACGGTTCAATTATATCAGCCTCCTGCATATCATTCACTGATTTTTGCACAATTTGTTGTTTAGCTAAAGGAACTCTCCTAGGTCTCTGCTTTATTGGAGTTGCACCTTGTGTATCTATTTTATGTGTCACTAAATTTGTTCTCCCTATGTCATTTGAATGTTTAGAAAAAACGTTTTGATTTGCCAGTAATAACTTTTGCACTTTTTCTTTCTCATCACTGTTTAGATTTATGGAGCTATCCTCAAATAACCTCTCCAGATGTTTCGGTAAACAATTAGACTCGCTTGTCTGACAACTGCGGACTTCAGACGAAACCGATTCTAACTGAACTTCATTCACCTCAACACATTTAGCGACTAATACGTTTTTATTGAGGCTAATGTCCCGGTCAGTCAAATTCATTAGCCTTACGGGAACACTATCTCCACATGCATTTATCACACTTGATGCTATCAGCAGATTGTAATGGTCACTAAATTGTTCACTTGGTTCAATCAAGAGAAATTCAGAGTTTTCCTGATTGCCAATCACTTTCCCTTGTACAATGGCTTCACTATTCGCTGGCACACAGGTTGACGATGCAATACCTAATCTACAACACATTGCCTCTGCACTAGACTTAAAACATGGAATAAATTTTTTTTCCAACTTAAGACTTTGTTCACTTAACACTACATCACAATGATGCTCCATAAGAAAATCCATCCCAAGGATCCCGTCACTTTTGATATCGGCAAGCCACATTTCATGACAAAAATCTATTTCACCCACATTCAAATAAAATTTCCCCTTCCCAAAGAAAGGTGAGACTTCGCCAGTTGCTGTCAACATTGCAATATTTACAGAATCCAATGCAGGTCTTACACTTTCAGGCATATTCTTGAAAAATTCTACACTAATAATAGATATATTTGCACCTGTATCTACAAGAAATGCAATCGGTACACCTTGTACACAAGAACGTATATACAGTCCATCTCCATTCATCCAAGCCGAACCCACAAACTTCACTTTGGGCCAGTTTGTTCCTCCCGAATTCTGGCCCCTGAACTCGGTGTTTTTACGTTTCCCTCATTATAAAAAGCTTTCTTCTCTTGTTCTGTTGAAACCCTACGCGAATCACTCAATGCCTCCTGACACATTTTAAGTTCACGCCTTAGGTCATCAAAGTGTTTTTTTAGTTCCCGCATTTCTCCCTGTAAATTATTTGCACTTTGTGTTCCGTGTTGAGAATACTTTCCAAAGCCAGGTTTTGAAGATGTCGGAGTCCAGTTTTTCTGTGGTAGCTTGTTAGGTGGCTTTTTATTGTACTCAGAAACATCCATTGATCTCACAAACACTTTTCCTCTTTGTCGGTCAGTTTGTGAGTTTCAATACGAACGACAATAATTTCAGCCTCAGAAATATTTTTTGGTCTTGCTTCACGCAGTCTAAAACGCATATCTGGATCTGTTAATGCATCAATAAAATGATCCAAAGCGAGAACATCGAGTAAATTCGAAGAAGCATTCGGGTATGCTTGTCGTGTCAATTTCCTTATCGTTTGTGCAAGTTCCGGAATACTTTCATCTCTATTCCTTGTTTTTGATTGCAGTCGGGCTCTATACATTTCAGCCCGATTCGTTGTTCCAAAGCGATTTGACAAGGCTTTCACAAGTTTATCATAATCCCTCCTTTCTG